TTTCATGGCTGGTCCTTTTTAACAAGCAAAACAAAACCTTTTTATTAAGTTACCATATAGACAGTTTTAAAGAAAATAATCCCTAACAATGATATTTGGTGCTTATTATAATATTCTAAGCACTGTTCTAAGCACTTTACATATACTGACACTTTTTTTAATGTTTTTTTTAAAAAGATATGTTTTTATTGGTTTGAGAGGGAGAGAGAGAGAGACATTGACCAGTTACCTCCCCTGCGTGCCCTGAGTGGAGACTGAGCCTGCAACTTGGGCACATGCTCTGACCGGGAATTGTACTGGCAACCTCTTGGTGTATAGGACAACGCCCAACCAACTGAGCCACACCAGCTAGGCTGTTAACACATTTAATCATCATAATTACTTTATGAATTAGGTGCTATTATTATCCCCATTTTACCGATGAAAATTGAGGTAGAGGGTGGTCAAGTCACCTGAGGTCACACACACAAGCTCAACTTGCAAGTGTGTAAATATGCTTTTAATATATTTCTGAAGGAAGCTTTAACAAAAAAAATATTGACCCCATGTAACTGGCTGCTTCTTTTGTGATCCTTGTTGAAGTAACTTCAAGAAGTGACAATGACGATAGGTTTAACCTAAAAATAGAAAATTTAGTCGATAAAATTTTTATTTTGGAGTCAAAGAACTATCTTTGGAAGCTGCTGCCGGAAAGGATATCCCTGGGATAGCAGATCCCTCAGGTCCTGATGACCAGCTGTATCACCAACACAGCTTCTCTTCTCATCAACAGGCTGGCCCAGCTCAGCTTATTAACCCTTCACTGTTTTCTTTACAGCTAGCCACTGTGCAGCCTGGCCAGAATTTCCACATGTTCACAAAGGAAGAACTTGAAGAGGTTATCAAGGACATTTAAGGAAATGTGATTCTCAGAGCTTCTCTGGGACAATTTCAGTTCTCCTGATTGCTCTTAACTTTTATTTCCAGCTCCTATTCCTTGAAAAATCTCCAGTGTATGTGCATTTTTTTATGATGTCTGTACATAATGGCAGTTCTGAAATAAAGAAAAACTTAAAATATTTGTGAATAGAGTATTCTCTTGTAATACAGTCACAGTGTTTATGTTGGGCAAAAAATCAACATCTTTCCTAAGGTTGTCTTAATGGCTTTCCACAATAGAATCAGCTATATCATGAGTCCTGGGTGCTGGCAATGAACTTAAAACTAATCCAGCTCCTGCCAGTGGTTTAAGATATTAATACCACTGTAAACCCATTTCAGTCCTATAGTGAATCTTAAGTAAATAGTTATGTTTGCTTCTCTCCTTATATGAAGAAGATGCTACTAATTGACCATCAAAAGAACATGTTTTGAGGTCCTCCCCAAACACTGATGGGTTGGAGTAAGCCAGCTACAATATTGTACCAGCTCTGCTATCTTAACAGACCATTGGGAAAGAGATTTTTTTTAAAAGTGAAGTTAAGGACTATAAAAATTGAATTCCTGATCTTGGCCTCATTGGCAATCAATTAGAAATCAGGAAGAGAGAATGGTAAAGTCAGAAGTAGTTTACATTAAATTTGGAATGTACTATGAACTTCCCCCATTAGAGCTGCCTTTATATGAGACTGGTTGAGATTAAAGAATCAATCTATTGGAGCCTCAAAAATGGCCATATGAGGTATATATTGTTGTTATACTTAACAGATGAAGAAACTAAGGCTGTGTGACTGGACGCAGAAAATTAAGCTGGTGGGAACTGAACTTAGATTTTTCTGGTTTTGAATCAACTCATGATTTTACACCAGGTCTCTTGTAACCTAGCAACCTACTCAGTAATAGGGAAATCTCATTGAGATTTGAAATGTACTTGCACTACCCACGTGTGGAAATGGACGGAAGTGCTGATTTAGGGAGAGGTGAGAGTTGTGTGAGGTCATCTGTATTACGTAGAAATTAAAAAAAAAAAAACCAACAAACTAAGGAATGGCCCTAAGCGTGTCTCTTAGCTTCCGCTTGTACTGCCTGGGCAGTGTATTTGTACCATAGACAACTGCTGAAACAAATTTCATACCCTCTGATTCTAATTTTAGAATTCTTGAAATAGAATTATAGCATTCTTAAAAGAGAACTTTGGTTTTCTGTAGAATTTTAAAATTTTCTGCAAGATTTCTTGTGTACCTTTTAAAAAGAATCAGAAAAGTGATCTTACTAGGATAAGGGTTTTGTGATGTGTAACTGCTTTCTATTTATCTTTAATAATAAGACAGATTCACATGCCCTGGCTGGTTTGGCTCAGCGGTGAGAGTATCGGCCCATGGTCCAGAGAGACCCAGGTTTGGTTCCCACTAGGGTCATGTGCCTCGGTTGCAGTTTATCCCCGGCCCAGGTTGGGGTTGTGTGGGTGGCAGCCAGTTGATATCTCTCTCACATTGATGTTTCTCTTTCTCTCTCTCTCTTCCACTCGCTCTATCTGAAGATGAATGCAAAAAGTGTCCTCTGGTGAGGATAAAAAAAGAGAGACAGATTTACATATTTTAGTCCTGCAAGTCAAGTAAGATTTTATGTACAGTATTTCACAAAGGAGATCAGACAGTGCAACTTTTGTATTTAATGCCTGTGCCATTAGACTGAAATATTAAAACTATTCACTCAAACATTTTCTCAGTGCCATATATAAGATACCATGTCCCGCCCCACCAATGTGGCACAGTGGTTGAGCATCGACCCATGCACCAAGAGGTCGCAGGTTCGATTCCCAGTCAGGGCACATGCTCAGGTTGTGGGCCAAATCCCTGGGGCATGCAGGAGGCAGCCAATTGATGTTCTTTCTCATTGATGTTTCTACTTCCCTCCTCTAAAAATCAGTAAAAGAAAAAAAAAATTTTTTTTAAAGATACCATGTCCCCAACAGCTGATAAAGGTTTGAGGAAGGAACTGTATATTCTGTAAGCATATAATAACTAAAAGCTATGTATTAAAAAGTGAAGGTATAGATAATTGCAACAATACTGAGTTAAAAAGTGTAAGTGTATTTAGTAATTTCTCCAGGAGATGGCACTGTTGAGTTGGCTTTTCTTTTCAGACAGGAAGACAATAGACCATTCATCTTTGTGTCACTAGACAAAGAAATATTCCTGTATGGCCCCTCTTCTCCCCACAGCTAATCACATGCTACTGGAACAGACTGTCTTGTGATCTACTCCATAGTTGGCATGGATTAAAAAATAATCTTTTAAAAAATAATCTGACACATGGTCATTGATGGAAAGGAACACATTGTTCACGTTTTCATCAAGCTTTTATCTTGTCATTTCAGTAACTCAGAACCAGGAAGATATTATAGTGATTTTTGCATCCTGCTCAGATGCTATTCAAAAATATTTTGGTGGGTGGGAAGAGATAAACCAAAGAACTTATATGCATAACAAATGGATACAGACAAACAGTGCTGGGAAGGGGTGGGGTGGGGCTGGAGCAGGGGAGGAGAGGGTGTCGATGTTAAAAAAAAAAGGAACACCTGTAGTACTTTCAACAATCAAGATAAAAAAAAAAATTTCATTTCTCTTGTCTTACTATGGTTGTTGGGGGGGGGAGTAAATTTGTAAATCTTTGCAAATTAATGTGAGTAGGATTTTACTGTAAACATTGGGTTGGGTGCAGTGCACCATTTTGCTATATGATGAATAGATTCACATTTGGGTTTACTTCCAGTTTATAGTTAAAAGTAATTTTTAGTAGCTTTCCTTATCTGGGAGTTACCTTTTGTATTCTTGGTATCTTTCTGTTTGCTGCCTTTTCTGCTGAACAACTTCTAGCATTCTGAAGGGATGGAATCAGTTAAAGATCCAGAACTGGCCCAGCTGGCCAGTGGTAGAGCATCGACCCATGCACCAAGAGGTCCTCGTTAGATTCCTGGTCAGGGCACATGCCCAGGTTGTGGACCAAATCCCCAGTGGGAGGCATGCGGGAGGCATGCAAGAGGTGACCATTGATGTTTTTCTCACAGATGTTTCTATCTCTCTCTCACTCTCTAAAAGTCAATAAAGAAAGAAAAAAAAGACCCGGAACTGGTCTTACCTGGGCTGCATGTTCTAGAAGTTATGAGTACAGTTTCTGCAATAAAGGGAATGGCATAAGAGTTTTGTTTGGTTTAGTGTGGGCGGGGTGCTAATTTAGGGCACATCATATACTGAAAAACCAAACTTATACAGATGAACCCTGCAGGGTTCAGGCACTTTGGCAGAGATAAATATACATCTATGAAATGATCATGTCTGAAATAGGCATTGGGTGATCGTCCTGCTCACTTTGACCTACCCCTCATGTTTAAGCTACTTTCTACACCTTTGGCCTACCTCCATGCAGAAGACGAAGGTGAGTGTGAGGCCATACGTGGTGGAGGGACTTTCAGTTCGCATGAGTCACGAACGCCCTGATTCTATCTTCTCTGTAGGCTTTAGCTCACACAGTTCACATTCACCTTCTTGGCAGCAAGGCTGCTGCTTCAGTCAACAATGGGTGCCCCAGTGCGCGGGGCTTAAAACCTGAAGCACAGGTTCATGACGAAGCCCCGTTTTCCAGCTAAGCGAGCTCAGGGATTCCCTGGGGAGATTTACCCGGCGCTGCCACAACCCAAAGAATTTTGGGGGTGTCTCTGGGGGAGAGGAAGCGACTAACCCAGCCCAACTCGAGGGAGCCGCCAGGGGTCGGGCGCCCCACAGAGAAAGCTTCGCGGGCAGAGGGGAAGCTCTACCAACTCTGGAAGTTCGGCCCCAGAGACGCCGGCGAGGCGGGGGATGACCTCAGCCGTTTCTGCCACGTTCCAGCCAATCAGTCCCGCATCTTGGCATCCGAATCCAGGACCCCCGAAGCCGGAGGCGACACGAGCCAATGAGGAGCGCGCAGGGAAAGAAGGACAGGAGGCCGGCCTATGGAGCGGGGAGGCCCGGCTGCGCGTATCCAAGGAACGCCGCGCTCGGGCTCGGGGGTGTGGCGCGGCGCCGGCGGGGGTGGGCGGGCGCCGGGCGGCAGGTGTCGGCGGCGACGGCATTCGGCGGCGATGGAGCGGCCCCGAGCTGCTGCGGATGGCCTCTCGCGCTGGCCCCACGGCTTCGGCCTCCTCTTGCTCCTCCTTGGCCTCCCGCTGCTTCCGCGGGCCGCGCTCGGCCAGGACCGCTTGGACGCGCCCCCGCCGCCCGCTGCGCCCCTGTCGCGCTGGGGCGGCCCCGTCGGGGTGAGCTGGGGGCTGCGCGCGGCCGCGCCCAGGGGCCCGTTTCCCCGCGGCCGTTGGCGCCGCAGCGCGCCCGACCAGGACGGAGGCTGCGGCCAGGTCCCGGACTTCGTCGCCAGGCTGGTCAACAACACGCACCAGGTGAGCGGGCGCCGGGCCCAGGCGCCGCTGGGACTGCGTGGTGCCGCCCCGCCCGCGCCTGGCGTCTCCGCGGAGCCGACCCCGGCCGCTCGCCGCCTGCGTCCCCCGGGCCCCGGCCCCGAAACTGCGGCAGGAGGGCGGGCGGGGTCCGGCCCGGGAGCGGCCCCAGGACGCCACGGCTCGCGCGGCTGTGTTTCGTCACAGGGGAGGCTAGCTGAGCCTTTCTTTTTAGCAAGTGGTCAAGACGTCTTGAGTGTCGTTGTTTTTCGTCTGTATAAATAATCGGGACCCAGTAGCGCTGTACCTCACCGGGAAGGTGGAGGAGTAGTGACCTCTGAAGTGTTTGCAGAAAAGTTGGGCTACGCAGAATCCAAGGTGTGTCCTCTGGGTCAGTACTTTCTGGGCGAGTAGGGGGTGTTCAGAAATCCCAGAGCAGTTGTTAGGTTGCCGAGTTTGTTTGCATAAAGGAACACGTCTGGAAATGGGATGACAGTATATATGTCATCTCTCTTAAAAACGCCTTCAATTTGACCTTCTGTGGTGGCATCGGATTCTGAGCCGGAAGTATGTGTTTTGTAACAAGGTTTTCAGCAGCTAAGAAACACGTCGTAGATCTTCTGCTTTGAGATAGGTCCTGGTGGAAAAGTTTTAAAATCGTGGCAGTCCTGTCCCTGGAGACAAGCAGGCCAAGACCCTTGCGCCTCACTGGATTGACAAAGCCAATTGTGCCAGTGCAATTTGGGCATCTTCCTCTTGTTTTTTCTAGCAGTAACAATTTAATTGTTGCTACCCACATTTACATAACATATGTTCAATTTAATATATTTTCTCTGTTATATCCCTGCCTCTCACAAAGAAAGATACACACCGGGACAGAGATGAGTGGCTAACTGCACTTGGCCTTTTATAGCCACGTTCAAATCAGCTGAATTTCAGTTTCCCCTTGAACTGTCTCCCTCTGCCGGGACTACTTGTTACCTGTGCTGAATTCTCAGATCTGAGATCCAGGACAACTGCAGTCAAGGCACAGGCAGTCAGGATTAAGTCCGATTAATGCAGTCCAAGCAGCAGCTGCAGAAAGGTGGCCAGGCTAGGGTGGACAGGTGGGCAAGTTGGGCGCAGATAGGATGGAATGAGTACTGGAAAGTCTTCCTTTTTGATGAAGGGGGAACTTTTTGTAGACTTCCACCTCTGTGCAGTGGAGTTCAGAAAGGCTTGGAAACACAGATGCTTAATATATAACGGACCACTTCCTTCCTTGAGCCTGCTGGACACAGCATTCTTACCCCACATTTCAGACTCTTCTCTTCCTGGTTGATAGGATCTGCTGCTACTTTTGGATTCATTCCTTTGGTTGAAGTCTTCCCTGGTTAGTTGGAATTGATAGGTGATTTGTAATACATTGATTTCTGTAGCAAGAGGTTGATAAAACTGGCTTGGGGAGTTCTTAGGGCAAATCAAGAGCAGATGTGAAACCTTATTAGAAGTCTGGTATGTAAAGAAACTTCCAGTTTCTTTCATTTTATTTAGCTACTATCTCCAGTGTTTTTTGTTGTTTGTTTTTTTAAGATTTTCTTTTCCGCCCTGGCCGGTTTGGTTCAGCAGTTAGAGTGTTGGCCTGAGGTCTGCAGAGACCCGGGTTCGGTTCCAGCTAAGGGCACATACCTCGGTTGCAGTTTGTCCCCAGCCCTGGTTGGGTCGTGTGGGTGGCAACCACTCGATGTGTCCCTTTCACGTCGATGTTTCTCTCTCCCTCCCTCCCTCCCACTCTATCTGAACAAGATATCGAAAAATGTCCTTGGGTGAGGATAAAAAAAAAAAAGATTTTCTTTTCCCCCTGGCCAGTTTAGCTCAGGGGTTAGAGCATCTGCCTGCAGACCAAAGAGTCACGGGTTTGATTCCGGTCAAGGGCATGTACCTTGGTTGCGGTTTGGTCCCTGGCCCTGGTCAGGGTCATGTTGGAGGCAACCAATGTTTTGTTTCTCTCACATCGATGTCTCTCTCTCCCTCCCTCCCTCTCTCTCACTCTCTCCCTTTCTCTCCCTCCCTCTCCTTCCCTCTCTCTCTGTACCTCCCACTCTGTCTGAAAATAAATGGGGGGTGGGGGGGAGGTTTTCTTTTCAGTCTTATTCCAGTGACCTAATTTTAAATTGCTACTTTTGCATTTGCTAATCAATCGTGGTCAGACACACACACACACACAAGAAATAAAACAAAAAAATTTAAAAAGAAAAATGAAAGCAAAACAACATAAAAAGAAAACGAAAACAAAAATATCATGGTCTCTTCAGAGATCCCATCCTTTTTGGACTGTGCATATGTGGTAAAAATGTAGCCACAATGAATAATCTTCACTTTGAACTGTCATGTAGTAGTAGTCTGCTCTGCTTTTCAATTCTGTATTTTTAACAGTCATAATAAATCATCCTGAACTGTATTGAAGAGATCTGATATTTTAGAACCCTTTATAAACAAAGTGAAATAAAAATATCAGCATGCCAGAACCACTTTTTATTAGTGATGTTGTATACGTTTGTACAGCTGGCAAAGTGCCATTTAGAGTCATTTTTCATAAGATGACAGGATTCATTTCCCAAGAAAAATCAGAAGTTCTTGGTTCTCTTATTACTTGTTATAACTGTTGCTCATGTCAAGCCCCATTAATTCATAATGTATGTGAATACCCTCCAGATGTTCAAGGCACACTAGATGCTGGGGTGCTGAGACCTAAAGGAAAGACACTCAGACTGGAGAATTTGGCTTGTGGGAATAAATTGGCGTTTAACTAATCATTTAAAGAAAGCAAAAGTAGAATTAAAGCCTGATAGTGCTTTTTATTCCTCTGGTTTTAGGAAACCTGTGACCTAGTGACCTATAACTCAAGTTTCTTCACTCATGAAATCCAACAAGTGTGTATGTGTATTTATAAATGCTCTTTTCTTACACTTGATAAATAACCTTCCTTTTGCCTGTAACCCCAAACTGTTTTTTATTTTTTTATCCTCACCCGAGGACATTTTTCCATTTTTTTGTTCAGACAGAGTGGGAGGGAGAGAGAGGAAGAGAGAGAGAAACATCGACGTGAAAGGGACACATTGAGTGGCTGCCTCCTTCATGACCCAACCGGGGCCAAGGACAAACTGCAACCGAGGTACGTGCCCTTAGCGGGAACCCAACCTGGGCCTCTCTGGACCGCAGGCCAACGTTCTAACCGTTGAGCCAAACCGGCCAGGGCACCCCAAACTGTTTTTATGACACACTTTTAACTGATTTTTTTCCTTTAAGTGCTTGGAGTGCTCATGCCATGTATAACCTTTGTTTTTTGTTTTGTTTTTAATCCTCACCTGAGGATATTTTTCCATTGATTTTCAGATAGAGTGGGAGAGAGGGAGGGAGGAGAGAGAGAGAGAGAGAGAAACGTTGATGTGAAAGAGACATACAGATTGGCTGCCTCCCGATCAGGGTGGGGGAATTGAACTACAACCGAGGTACATGCCCTTGACTAGACTTGAACCCGAGACTCTTTGTTCCCCGAGCCAATGTTCTAACTGCTGAGCCAAACCGGCCAGGGCAAACCTTTGTACATGAGAGAAATAAAGCGAGCCTAGAAGATTTTATTAATGTTGGTTGCTAAGTTGCATTTCTTCAAAACATTCTTCCTGTAAGCACCCCTTTGAGGTTAGGCATGAAACTCTGTCTTAAAGAAACAGATGAAATGCCTTGGCCAGAGTTGCAGTGGTGGCTGACATAATTTCCTCCTTTCTCATTCCTGTGTTCAGATCATTTGACAATGTCCTTAAAACGTATGATTAATAAAACCAGGAACTGTTGCTCATTCTCTGTCCTCTCTCTGCTCCTGTCACTTACTACTTCTTTACATATTACTTCCCAACTTACACCCCAACATCAAAGCATCTAGTTTCTTAAATAAACAGGCCCCGTGGAGAGGCCGTGTGGAATAGGATGTCAGCCCAAGAAGAATGTATGTTTGTCTGTTGGTGCTGGCAGAGCTGTGTTCATGCTGACAGCACTGAATGTGCCTGAGGGAGGCTTCAGGGGGCTGCCACTCTTAGCCTGTTGTGGATCTTGGTCACACCTGGAAATCTGAAGATCGGTGCCTTGAACTCCCGAAACTTTCTGACTGCCTCCTTTCAGCCTCTCTTTATACTGCCTTCCCCAGTACTCCCACCCTCACCTTCCAGTTCATCTTCTCTTGAGTCCTATTTCATTCATTCATTTTGCGGTCAAGGAATAGGAATTCTGTAGGATCTCCTTCTTGGTCCTGGTCGATTCTGCCCCTGGGCAGGAGAGTGATCAGACCTTTGACCCGGAAGGGATGTTAAAATGACTTAGGCATTGGGAGTTTCAGTTAGAAGTATCAGCAGATTTGATGAAGTATATTTATCTGGGCAAAAGTTAGTCTTCAACTGAGGTTTGGTTGGGGTGAAGGTAGAAGGCTAGCCAGATGGGACAAAGGGCTCAAAGGGAAAGCAGTGTAACAATTAGGTGGCTTCTCTGCTGACAAATATTTGACTCTGTGCACAGTGATTTTTAATTAGAAATCTGAGTCTCCTGTCTGAGGAAATAATTGGAAGAAGGCTTATTCTTCTGGTCAGTCACTAATGCCTATTTTCTTTTTGTAATGATAACAATAATAATAGGCTCTCCATCCTGCTGTTTCGATCTGGTCTTTCAGGTCAGGTTCACAGAGGTTATTAACAGCTCCTCCTTCACTCTGCTGGTTTCCAATCAGCTGTTGCCAGCAAGCTTTGGATTCTCAGTGGGTGGCTGCATACACTGTGCTCTCCAACTTTGTCCTAGGTGGCTTGTTACCCTTGTGTGATTCTCACATGAAGGGCAATGCTTAACAACCGAGTTGTGGTCAGAGCAGGAGGGTTGATGCTCTCCCTCCCTTCCCTCCCATCCACCACCACTCCTCAAGTTCTGTCCTTACAGAGAGGGAACTGAGTTTTGAGGCTAGAGAAATCATGCTCAGATGG